GTGCCACTGGGAGGAGATGAGGGATAAGGGTTGCCACCTCCAGATTGGGAAAGTCCTGGAAATTTGAGAGTGGATCCTGGGGAAGACAGGGACCTCAGTGGGGTACAATGGCACAGAGTCCACACTCCAAAGCATCTGTTTTCTCCAGGGAAACGGATCTCTGTAATCTGAAGATGGGCTGTAATTCTGGGGGATCCCCAGGTCCCACCTGGAGGCTGGCATCCCTAGATGGAGTCAACATTTTTCAAACCTGATAGAGCTCAGGAGGTTTAGACTGTAATAGCTCTAAAATATAATACATGGAACCTCCTAGTTTGAATGCAGTGTACTTCTGAATGGCAGGTCTTAGCGACAGAATTTTCTAATTACTTCAGGGATTGTATAGAGCAAAGCATTCTCTATTTACGAATGATCTCAAGCAACCTCTGAAACATATTTCCTAGAATTCGACAGATAAGTCAGACCCATGATGATCACCCATCAAGTGATTAAAATCTCCTAAACATTAAATAATTAGCATTTCCCACAGTGTTTGTAAGGCATAATTCATCTACCATTTTGTAAATCGATTTTTAGTTTGCCAGTATTAAAAGAGAGAGTCCATGATGCTTGCTTTGAATTAAACAAAAATTCATGCTGAATTTGGTTGCCATCACATTACAAATTAAGCTGCAGAGATCTAACACTTTCTGCTTCTAAAAGTGACTGGTACATATAACCAGCACCTGTGCTGTGTTATATGTTATTATGGCCAAAGGTCCGAAACAATAAAAGACAGCTAAACTAATGATTATGTTATATCCACTGATTCACAGAATTCTTCAACAAGGTTCAGTAGACTACTTATAGACTACTAATAGTCTGTAATTTATAATAGACTACTTATAATCTTTATTTTCTCCACTGACACTTATGGAATATTGTACATCAGGGCTGGTTCAGAAGTTATTTGTGCATGATCTGGGCCCAAACTGTAGCAGCAGTATTTGAACGAAGGAACTATGTGGGGACTCCAGGTTGCAAGTAATTAGATCTGTAAGAGGAGAAGAGTAATAGAATGTTGGGAAATTTCCAGAAAGGATTTGGTTGAGCAAGGAGCTTAGGATGACAAGGCAATGCAGGCTAAAATACCTTGGGCATCAGTGGGTCCCCTTGAAGCAGGAATAGACACAAATTGCAAATAGAGAATTTCTCATGTTACCTCTGACCTTCTGAAAGTGAAAATGACAGCCATGTTGGAGCATTGGGCCCTTTGCTGGTTGTAGAGCCTTGGCAAATGCTGGCCTACACTGGGAGATACCAAGGACACATGGGCTGGGGAGACGGAGAAGATGGCAAAGAACTGTGATGAACATTATGTTGTCGAAGGCTTTCACGGCCAGAGTTCATTAGCTGTTGTAAATTTTCCGGGCTGTATGGCCGTGTAGGACCTGATGTTTCGCCAGTAGCTGTGACTGGCATCCTCAGAGGTATAACACAGAAAGACAGAGTACAACAGCTAATGTGATTAACATTACTTGGATTTTTTTCCTCTTAGTGGCCTACTGTAGGGTGATAATATTGAAAAAATGGTATTTAGCAGAGATAAAATAGTCCAGCAGAGCCAGAGTAAAATAATTCAGACTGAGAGTCCATGTGTGATTAAAATATAAAGTTTTTACTAAATTCTAGCATGGGAAGGGTAACTGGGATGAAAATAACAACAGAGCAAAATCTACTACATCCTTACTCTACAAAGACAAAACTAGAAGAGAGAGAGAGTATGGCTACTCTTCTTGTTCTTCAGAACACCAAACAAAGACGGGAAGAGAAGCCATAAAATGCTAATACACCTTGACACTTTAGTCCCAATCAAATTCCTAGATCAGGGAGAAAATTCCCGGGCATTCTATATCTAAAGAACATTGGTTACATGAGAAACACGTGACTTCCTGTGAGTAACATAAACAAACATTTAACCCCAAATATACTGAGTGTTTTCAACTTGTAATACCCAACACCTACCTCATTCTCAAGACTTTCAGTCAAGAAGATACCTCCATTAACTTAAGCAATTCAACCTACCAACTTTAGACTATTTGAAGTTGTTATCTGTCTTATCATCCTCTTTGCTGTATTAGCTACTGTCTAAAATAGATGACAGGAATCTTTCACCATTGAGAGCTTTACCCCTTCCCTTTCTGGAATCCCACTGATCTCTCAGATGCCATATTTGAACATGGACTAATGGTGAGGTCATCACTATTCATCCACAACTTGACATGTCTCTCTCTCTCTCCCCCCAGCTCCCCCAGCTCACACAACCACCTCTAAAAGGGTGCCTTCATTTCTTGCCTGAAGTGGGAAAGTCTTCTCCCATTTGGTCATCCCAATCCAGACTGCGGACCTTCTATCCCTCTGCTAGGAGCTGATTGGACCACTGTTTTCCCCTTCAGCTCCCCCTTATCTCCAGACCATGAGCAAAATGGTCATCTGATGCTAGAAAACGTGTTAGCTTCCAGAAGCCTGTGATGATATCTTTCTTGTAGATTTCAGGGAGTGTGCGTAGGGGCTGTCTGTTTGTTGGCTGTGTAAGAAAGATTGCTTAAATTTTTGATTGAGCTTTGAATTTGCCTTTTCCTGTTTCCCCTGATCTCTTTGTACTTTAATTGCGTACATGGAAATTCTCATTCGCCTGTTGTCTGGTAAAGTTGTCAGCCTGGGAAAATCCTCATTCCCTGCCTGACTTTTTTCTTCATGTTACAAAAAGAGTTGGGGAAGGGAGATCAGGAAGGCCACCCAGAAGGCTGCTGAGTGTAGGTTTCTCGCTTGCTGAGCCTCTCCTCCCCAAGCAGCCCCCCCTCACCCCTCCTGTGGGCTCCTGCTGCTGACGGAGAAAGGGCCCATTAAGAAAGGAGACGGCTACTGTGGATCATAAGGAACAATTGACTGGACCAGCCATGTACGTCAGGATGGCTCTTACCAGTCATGGGGATACAGTGGGAAAGGGCGGCCAGCCTGTACAATGCAGCCCTCTTGCTGAGCTCCTGCTGCCTGTCATACTCTCATGGGGAAGGAGAGGGGGGGCCCTGAGTCATCTAGTCCACCCTCCCTTTTCTTGCTATCTGTTTTTCCCCTCTGGGCTTTGTAGAGTGCCTGGCAGAAGGTGGAGAGAGTGCTTCCTTGCACGGAGGGAGGGAGACTGGTGCCGTCTCGGCATCTTCCATGGTCAGGTATTTCTGCCTGACTATTTTATTTATTTATTTAGAACAGTTTTATGTTGCCTTTCCACCCGATCAGGGTCCACAAAGTGATGGCCATAAAAATAATAATCAAGCACTTAAAGAATCAAAATACAGTTAAAATGTAAAATTCAATTAAAAACCCATAAACAAACACCACTAGAAAGAGTTCAGTACCCGTTATTGGGGGTATACTAGATGAAACAAAATGTCTTCACATGCTGGCGAAAAGACACTGATAGAGGGAGACAGACCAACCTCCCTGGGGAGGGAGTTCCAAAGTGTTGTGCCATGAGAGGGATGGCCCTTTCTTGGGTTGCCACCTGCCCAGCCTTAGATGGTGGGGAAACCAAAGAAGGGCCTCTGCGGATGACTGGGGTGATTGCATAGGCTCCTATGGGAGAAGGCGGTCCTTTAGGTCACACCTTTGTTTTGTCAGGATTAGGTTCAGCTTGTTAGCCCTCTTTCATTCCAGTACTGTTTCCAGGCACCTCTGCATGATTTCCACAACCTCCCTGAGATCTGCTGGTAGTGTGAGGGAGAGCTGAGTGTCATCTGCACATCTGTGGTGATTCAGCCCAGATCTCCAGTTCACCTCTCCCAGTGACTTTACATAAATGTTGAAAAGCATGGGGGACAAGGAAGAACCTTGGGGAACCTCATAGGTGAAAAGCCAAGAGGCAGAGTAGCAGGCCCCCAACACCATACCCGGAAACCTACCCCCGGGGTAAGACTGGAACCACAGCAGAACAGTACCTCCCAGTCCTGAAAGGTGATCCTGAAGGATACCATGCTCAATGGTATCAAAAGCTGCTGAGAAGTCCCGGAGAATTAACAGGGTCGCGCTCCCCTGACCATCTCCTGGTGCATGTCATCCACCAAGGCAACCAAGGTAATCTAAAACCAGATTTGAACAGATCTAAACAATCTGCTTCATTCAGGAATCTCTGAAATTGACTAGCCACCACTCATTCAGTCATCTTGCTCAAAAACGGTACTTCTGAGAATGGACAGTGTTTATTCAACTCCTTGGTCCAGAGTAGGTTTCTTTAGGAGTGGACACATCACTGCCCACATCAAGGCAGGGGTGACCACCATGTCTCTCAGGGAGGTATTTACTATCTCCCGGACCCAGTCCAGATTTAATAAGCCAGGGGTCATACAAACAGGTGGCAGGTCTGAAACTGCCCAGAATCTTGTCCACATCCTTAGGCTGCACAAGCTGAAAGGTATCCCACAGAACTGGGCACCCTGGGGCCATCCGATCCTGTTGCTGCTAATGTAGAATCCATGTTGGAATGGATGCAAGAGATTTTATCCACAAAGTGCTTAGCAAAATGATGACAGTGGGCTGCAGAGTAGTCCACTTCCTCCCATTGGCCAGAACCCAATAACCCCCAGCCTAGGTTTTATAACACAGTCCTCTTGCTAAGGATAACACCGGAGGGCTTCAGCCCTATGGTCTGTTTCTCTGGCAGGGGACTCCAGTGGCTGGTGGGACCCTGTTGTTCGTTTTGATGCTTGGGACTGGGTTGTAGGAAATCCCTTCTTGGAAGCAGTAGTTATGCACCATGTATATTGGTTAATCCGCGATCCAGCTGTCTGCAGTCTGTGAAGGTATGGCAGTGGGAGGAATATTGGTGAGGAAGACATTATGGTACTCCTTGCATGTCTAATCTCTGTCCCATCGAGGGAAATCTCTCTCTCTCTCTCTCCCCCTCCCCCCCTCTCTCTATGCCAGCATCATCTCTTTCTTAATGTACTTCATATAACCTTGTGAATTTCTTAAAAATTGAGGAAATTAATAAACACAAAGTATATTTTGAATAGAATCAAGATTGCAGTACACGTTATCCCAACAAATTACAGGGTGTCCATACTCAGTGGGTGCTGGTTCCCAAAGAATTGTGGAGTCAGTACGTACAGCAGAGCTCAAATGAGGAGAGAACATATGGAACTCAGCACGGTGTGACATTTTAAAAAAATGCTTTCTACTTTCCCTAACTTGTAGTAGAGTACTAAATAGGGAGCAAAGGAGGTTTCTGCATTTCCACAGTTCCTTAAGTTGTATACTGCCCATTTCTATGCAAGTGTGGTATCTGAAAGATATTTTTTTTTCTGGCTTCACTTGAAGGTCGTAGAGAGAATAAAATGCCCATCCTGATTTCCAAGATTTTTAAAGGGCTGGCTGCAGATCAAACCGAGGCACTCTTCGTAGGAGATGCCATCCTTTCTGTCAATGGCGCTGACCTCTCCGATGCTACGCATGATGAGGCAGTTCAGGCCCTCAAGAAGACTGGCAAGGAAGTGATTTTGGAAGGTAAGCTGCTTGTTTGTTATGATGTCTGACGTGATGCAGAAGGGGTTAAAATGTGCTAGCAGTTTTGCTCCTTCCCAGTCCAAGCCACAAGTTTCTGATACTGTGGCTTGCTGCCTCAGTCTGTTTTGTTGTGGAGCCGTAGATACCAGCTGCTTTGCAATGTGGAGACATCCAAGAACACCCTGCTTTTGTAACATTTTGTCTACGTTGGCAGCTTGCCACCAGCCTCTTGAATGGACCTCATTTCCATGCAGATTTTGCTCACTGATTTCAGTAAAAATACATGAATGCTGTGCTGTCCTATCTGCTCATCTTTAGAACTGGATATTCATGCTTTTATCTTTCTTAACAACTTAATTGCAGGTACAAGTTCTGTGATTCCCCCCATACAATAAAAATCTGCCAACTCAACATTTTTGCAAGAATGGGTAACTTTAGGCTTTGTCTCAAGTTATACTGAGATGCAGCCTTTGTTCAGGATGGAATTCCAAATTTAGCTCTGGAGTCACCCGGCCATTGCAGATACATTTCTTTTTCATTTTGTGATGATTTGGATCCTGTTGTTGCAGTCTAGGTCTGCACAATGAATGCCATTTCAGACAGGCAAGGACTTGGAGCGACAGGGAGAGTCAATTTTTAAGGTAAAGTGATGCCAGACCAGGAATGTCTGGAACACTTTCAAGTATGGCAAGACGTAGGAAGACAGACTCAGAAATCAGTATTCTAGCTGCTGACCTGAACTCCTGAGTAATGGGAAGGTTAACTTTGCAATGGATATTCAGCTGAGGTGTGATTGTCCAATAATGGTAGGTTGGATTGTTTGTTCTTGACATCTACAATTGTCTAGTAATGCTTTATTGATCAGAAAATCTGTAATTGGCTGCTGAGAAGTGTTTCTGGAGAGACAAGAGATACTTTGGAGTGTAATAATGGCTGTGCTTTTCAAATGAATCAGTCTGCCTTTCTTGTCAAGGAAGAGAATGAGTCTGCCGTTGCCTTCATTTCTTCAGAGTCCTGAGGAGACCCAGACAGGCTGTACATCATATTCAGAGAAGATGTGAGTTGGCACAAACAGTTACAAGCATCTAAAAGACAAATTTAGTACTGCCTCAAATAGTCACTGCCTTGCCATCTACCTCTTTCTGCTGGATAAATAATTGTTCTGCTACTTCTGTCTTGGGGGGGGCTTTAATGAAAAAATTGTGAAGACACTGAGCGCATTGAAACTTTCATTACAACGTGTATATTTGTGGAATACAGCTGGGATGAGGGGATTTTAGGAAGACTGGGGCCAGTTTGGTATAGTGGTTAAGTGTGTGGACTCTAATCTGGGAGAACCGGGTTTGATTTCCCACTCCTCCACTTGCAGCTTCTGGATGACCTTGGGCAAGCCATGGTTCTGTCAGAGCTGTTCTCTCAAGGACGGTTCTGGAAAGAGTTCTCTCAGCCCCACCCACCTCACAGGGTGTCTGTTGTGGGGAGGGGGAGGGAAAGGAGTCTGTAAGCCACTCTGAGACTCCGAGTGAAGGGCGGGGTAGTTTTTCTAAACTCAGACACTGTCCTTCCTTGAGGTTAAAAACAGCTTGCACTGGGGTGAAGCAAACCATATAAAGTCAGCTCATATATTATCCCTTGAATATACTCTACAGGGACCATTTTACTGAGGTCTAATTTTATTTCAGAATTGCTCATTAATCATTTCATTTGTGCAAACATGATTTAGAATCATTAACTCGTCCATTAACTACTGTGAGTTAGGACTGTTCCATTCCGGTTTTACAGATTGGAATCCTGGGGGTTTTGGCAGCACTGCTTTCTGTAACACAGAGCACCAGCTTTTAACTTATAGCATAGCGTTAACTTGCAGTTGTGGAATTCGCTGCCAGTGGATGCACAGACGTCTCTAAGTGGCTTAAAGCTGTTGGTGGGCACTGTGGTGCCTGTGGGCACCATGTTGGGGACCCATGATGACATAGGGAAAATACAACAAGCAAGAAAGGGAAGGGGGGGCTTCTGATCGCCATGGATGTTTTTTCTCTCTTCTAGGTGATCTTCTGCCTAGCTCTGGTTCTTTGGCCGTCAGCTGAAGAGCCTTAAACTCTCATGTGCAGAGAGGAGAGCAGTCTCAGTGAGATATTATTCAGCTGCTACTAACTAGTAGGGCCTTGAGGTCAAAGAGGAAATTAGACAGATTCATGGAGGAGAGGCATATCAATGGCTATGGTGAATAGCTATGGTGACTAGAGTGAACCAAAAACTGGAAAAAGGGGGGGGGGACTCAACCCAGGATATGACTACGAACCAAAAAGGGCTAACCTTGATGGAGGGACACATGTTCAGACCTGCAAAATCACTATTACCAGAATAAGTTGTGGAGGTGATATGGCTATACCTATGGCCCATTACTAATACCAGGAGTCCAATTATAAGTATACAAGGAAACAACATCCGGTTTAATTACATGTGTACTAAAACTCTGTAACAGGTCTTTGAATGTGTGTCTAGAATATATAGATAATAGTGACCACTGAGGAAGGCCCTTAGGGGCTGAAACGCGTTTGGTCTTCAGTTGTAAAGTATTTGCCCATCATATGTATGTATAGTGGATAAGCTTTTATAGTCTGATCTTAGACAAAGTAATTTTTAATCAGGAAAGTTTTAACATGTGTACACCTTAATAAATATTTGTACTTTTATATATATGGTTTAGCTTAGCCCTTTTTGGTTCGTAGACTAAAGTGAACCTCCACATGCAGAGACAGCTGACCTTGGGGGGTTATGTGAGCCAGGAATCCCCAACCTTGTTGAGTCTCTGGTCACTTTCAGGAATATTGGGCACAGATAATGGGTGCCATCACAAAATGGTTGCCATGGGAGGAGTGCAGTCAGCTATGGAATGGCTGCCATAGGGGTTAGGGCCAGTCACAAGACATTAGCAAGTCTGAAGTCCAGAATCCTATGATGGAAGAAGCTGTTTCTTGATGGGAGTTCTCTGCAGACACAAAAGTGATGATGATTCTGGGGCTCTTCTAAAATACCTCCATGCTGTTTTGAGCCTTGCTGGGAAAATATATGTCCACACAGGCTTTTGCCAGTGGGAAGTAAAGGCAACCTGGGAATGAAGGTTTTCATTGGGAAGTGGGACGAGGAGACAGCATTACATGGCCCCCGTCTACCTTGAAATTGTGGCTCCAGAAGCTGCATAAATGGAATACAGAATTACATTTAACAACTCTCTACCTGCTTATACTTCACCATTTTACCGAAAAGATTTCATAACAGTCCATGCAATCAGCAGCTGTTTCTAGAACAGGGGAAATTGTGAATTTACCACATTATTCGCTTCACTGCCCTATAGCTGAAAATGCGAGGAATGGATTCCCCCCCTTAAAACTGTTGAAAGGGGCAATTTGTGGAAAATTGTCTTTCTGTTTTCAAATAACCATGAAGTTAGCCAGAAAGTGGCCACTTTTGTGTTAGCCAGCTGTTGTGGAATAATAATAAAAATAATAATGTTTTACGGATGGATGGTTCTTGATTGTATTTTGAGGCCAGTTGATTATGATTCTCTTCAATTTTATTTTTCCTATTTTGTCTTTATTTTGTGTCAGTTTTATTATGGTCTATGGCTAAACAAATCCTTTTGTTATTTCATTGGTGTCCTGCCTTTTCTATCTCATGGAACTCAAGTTACCTTTACGTAGGGTTCTCATCTAGGCAATGGCCAAACTTAGAGCTGTTTTACCTTTAGTAAGGTGACTGTATATCATATGACCTCCAGATATACTGTATATTCTCAAACATACACATAAAATACATTTTACAAAGATATACAGCAAGGGTCTCTTGGGTAAAGGAAACTAAATCTAGTAAGTGCTGTCTGAGGACTTTTCATTATCTGGTGGGAGTGGGTCGGGCACTGACAATGCAACCCTAAGCAGAGTTACAAGTTTCTAAGCCTGTTAACATCAATGGACTTAGAAGGATGTAACTCTGTTCAGGATTGCTCTGTTAATTCATCACCACTTCAGAAACATATCATGAGCTGGGAGGCAGCCCCAAATATGCTTGTTGTGTGTGTAACTAACATGATTTGCATTTCATTTTTTTGCATGTAGCCATGCATCAGTACAGATGGTTGTTCAACAGGTATTGTTCTTAAATGTGAGAGAGCTTGACTCAGTCCTGGAAGTGAGATACCAACTGGAAGAGTTAGTTCAGTGTTGCTCGAGTCTGTGTGGTTCTGAAGCTTGCTTCCCACTTACCCAATCCAAAGTGATTCTCTGGCAGATTTTCACAATCTGGCTCAGTTTTCACCATCCTGAATAGTTTGGTATCATACACAAACTCGCTCATCCTCAATTTATGAACAAATTAAATAGCACTGGTCCAGCATCAATCCTTGTGGGACCCTTTGCTTACTTGCCTGCCTCCATTGTGAGCATTGTGTGTTTATTCCTACTATCTGATTCCTGTCATTTGATCAATCTATAGTTCATAATGCATAAGAGGGGCTGTCCTTTTATCCATAACTGCTAAGCTTACTCAGAAACCTTTGGGAGTTCGGCCTTGTCAAAAGTCTTTTGGAAGTCCTAGAAAAGTCCCAGAAGAGCTTGGATGCCTCTAGTGCTAAAACTAGTGGACAGACGTCTTAGTTCTGCAGAATTATTTGATGTAATGGTTATAACCTTAGGCTAGGATTGGGGAGATTCAGTTCAAATCCATGTTCAGCCAAGAAGCTTGTTGGGTGATCTTAGGCCAGTTACTGACTCTCAGTCTACCTCAGTTCACAAAGCTCTTATGAGGATGAAAAGGAAGAGAACTGTGCACTCCACCTTGAACTCCTTGGTCAAACAGTGGGATGAACGTGTGATAGATCCCACAGAGATGTTATGGACTCTCAGAAGAAGTGTGTTTCCTTCTGCAACCATTCTTGTCTATTTTTGCCCCTCTCTTTAATTTGCAGGACATTTTCCTGCCATTACACTTCCTTTTCCAAA